TCCTATGAGTAGGTTTCTACTCGATGGCAAGGAGTTTGAGTTTCAGGTGAGTGCAATATTGAACGATTCTGTAGGCAACATATTGAGTGACATAACAAGCATCAAAAGAAACTGGTAGAAATACACAGCACCACTGACCCCAAAGAACGGATCACCATTCAGCATTTCAGGAGGTAGCATAAGATCAAGAACTGAAGGCACTGAAGGAAGAAGTCCAAGCTCCACTGAAGGCACTGGTGCCAAGTAAGGATCCAGGAATCGATGGGGCAGCAATTGGAATGTTTCAGCGAACGAATGTAGTCCTGAAGGTGCTCACCCATCTATGCCAAGAATTCTGGAAAACAGCTACCTGGCCAACAGACTAGGAAAGATCCATATGTGTGCCCCTTCCAACGGTGAGCCAAAGAATGTAGAAATAATTAAATGGCATCATTAATATCACATGCAAGTAAAATTGCTTCTGAAGCTAATTCAACAACAGTTACAGGAGTACATCAACACAGAGCTGCCGGAACTTCAAACTGGATTCAGAAGAGAAGTGTCGTGAGAGAGAGCCTTGCTGGTGTCAGGTGGATCCTGCTGAAAGCAGAGATACCAGAAAGATGTTTGGCGGTGTTTTAGCAAAGACACGAGACTGCGTGGACCATAACAAATTACAGACGACACTGCCAAGACTGAGGCCTCGAGGACACTTGGCTGTGCCCTTGTAGAAGCTGCACAAAGACCAAGAGGCAGTCATTAAAACAGAGCAAGAGGACACTGGATGGTTTAAAATGAAGAAAGGTGTGTGTCGGGTTTGTATCATTTCACTAAACTTCCTCATTTGTGGGCTGAGCAAACAGAGAAGCCAGACGACGTAAGTAAGAACAGAGCCACCGGGACGGCAGGAAGACGCATGAGCAGTCTGCAACGTGAGGTGACACGGCCTTGCTTGCTGAAAGTAACGAGGATTCAAAGCACTTCCTAAAGAAATACAACCTCCCGCATGGATTATAACTCAGTGTAACAAAAACAACAGTCATAAGATGTAACAGCACACGAAATGAAGCAGTCAGATTTCACTTTACCTGGATCCACAATCAA